ACGAAGCGAGAGAGATTGCCGACGCACTTCCAGTAACTTCCTTCTGCCGGAAGAAAGAGGAGGAGGAAGAATTGGAGACGGGGGGGGGGTTTTTGGGGTGATTTTTTTGAGGTTGTGGAGGGGGTTTGGGGTTGTTGTTTTTTGAGTTGTGGAGGGGTTTGGGGTTGTCAGGTGGTGGAGTTTTGGGTTGATGTTTTATTTTTTTCTTTAAGAAAATATAAAAAACAACAACACAAATGGAGTAATCTTGAGCAAATCTCTCATGGCGTGGGAGGTGTTTAGATTTTATAAACCCTGAGAGAGAGAGAGAGAGGAAGAGAGAGATTGCGATAAAGAGAGAGAGAGAGAAGAGAAGAAAGGCAAAAGGAGGGCGAGAGAGAGAAAGAAAAAGAGAGAAATTGCAATAAAGAGAGAGAGAGAGAAAGGCAAAAGGAGGGCGAAAGAGGGAGAGAGAGAGAGATTGGGATAAAGAAGGCCTAAGGGACAGAGAGAGAGAGAGAGAGACAGAGAAAAAGAGAGAGGGGCAGAGGGACAGAGTGAAAGAGAGGGCCAGAAGGACAGAAACGGAGAGAGAGAAAGAGAGCTAGCTAGTTGGAGAGAAGAATTACGTTTTCATATATAGAAGCATAGAAGTATTTGGGATCCCCTGAAAAAAATGGAAAATGATAAATATATAAAATGAAACCACCACCTAATATAAGCTATATATGTGTGTATACATACATACATATATATATATATATATATATATATATATGATATATATATATATATATATATATATATATATATATATATATATATATATATATATATATATATATATATATATATATATATATATATATATATATATATATATATATATATATATATATATATATATATATATACTTACACACATATATTTACATATATACATATCTATATCTATATCAATGTGCACACACACGCAATATACATACATACATGTATATATATATATATATATATATATATATATATATATATATATATATATATATATATATATATATATATATATATATATATATATATATATATATATATATATATATATATACATACATAGATAGATAGATATGAACCGTATTCATGTTGACCTCGCCCTGCCGAGTCGTGTGCAGAACCCGCTTCGCTCTTTAAGAATAAACAACGTCATCTGCTTCGAGGTTGAGCTGGAACCCGAAGACTATCCGCTGTTCCTCGATTACTCGGGCCGGGAACGGAAAAGGATCGAGTTCATAAGCGGAACGACTGGTACGACTATTTTTGTACATAGCGTCAAGAGTGCGACGCGTTGCCATTCAGGATCCCAACCGGTAGGCGATCCGAAAAGCCGTTGTTGACCTCACGATGGAGGTCACATCGGCATGCTTTGACCTGCCTTTTTCCCGCGGTAAATTGCAGAAGATCAGGAAGCGCAAGAACAGGAAACTCGGTCAAGAACGACTGCGCGACGGTGCTGTGACGCTGAGTTTCGGGGGAAGAAGTCGTCCGACGCCGAGAAGGGATATGAGCGCTGACGACGACTTGTGAATTCTTGAATCTTAAGAATTGAATGTAATCAAAGGAATTGATCTCATGAATATCTGCGTGAATTTATAGAGATATAGAAATCTGTGAGCCGAAACAGGGCGGCGCATCCATAAGAAATGATATATATATATATATATATATATATATATATATATATATAATATAATATATATATATATATACATATACTCTCTATCTATCTATCTGCTAATCTATCTGTCTCTGTCTCTCTCCTTGTATGTGTGTGTGTTTGCGTGTTTGCGTTTATGCTCGATTTTATGAGCTCAGCGTCTCTCATAATCAACCAAAACAGAAACCTTACCAGCCAAGGTCACATTCCGAAGGTTCTTGCACTTGTCCAGGAGATCTTCGTTCAGGACGTACCCCGCCAGGAGCTCCAAGTTCTCCAGACGGCACTCGGGACCCGCGGCTGTGATCCCCGTCACGTTCTGGCCGTTCGCCTCCAGGACGAGTCCACCTCCGCCGAGACGTCATAGTATCTGACGCCGTTCTCTTCGACGATTCTGAGACTGTAGTGCTTGTCCTCCTTCACCGTTGTGCTCTTGGAGAAGGTGGAATTATTCTGCCGCGCATTCGCCAAGAAGGAACTGCCAGTTGTCCCGGGAGTCTCCTCTGCGCCAGGAGCTTCTTCGGCGTCGTCCTCGAGGATGAGGTCTTCCGGAGGCCTCGAGGGAGTGATCTCTGTGTCTGAGGCTTCGCTGAGGGCGCGGTTGCTGTCCTCAAGCGGCGTGGCAGCGGTGAGGGCGAGGCAGACGGGGATGAGGAGGTACGTGGTGCAAATCATGTTCTTGCTTATTCTGTCTGTCTCTCTTTTTCACACTCTCTCTCTCTCTCTCTCTCTCTCTCTCTCTCTCTCTCTCTCTCTCTCTCTCTCTCTCTCTCTCTCTCTCTCTCCTCTCTCTCTCTCTCTCTCTCTCTC